TGACAGCATCACCCACGATGACAGCATCACCCACGATGACAGCATCACCCACAATGACGGCATCATCCACGATGACAGCATCTCCTACGATGACAGCATCTCCCACAATGACGGCATCACCCGCGATGACGGCATCACCCACGATGACAGCATCACCTACGATGACAGCATCTCCCACGATGACAGCATCACCTACTATGACAGCATCTCCCACGATGACGGCATCTCCTACGATGACATCATCTCCCACGATAGCAGCATCTCCCACGATGACAGCATCTCCCACGATGGCAGCATCTCCCACGATGACAGCATCACCTACGATGACAGCATCACCCACAATGACACCAATGCCTACCATGACACCTTCTGCCGAGTGCGCAACGATCAACCCGTTGTGCATTGGTTGTACCTTTGCCGATATTGGAGACGGAATGCAGCTCTTTTGCACTCAATGTGTTGAAGGATACCGTTAGGATGGAATCAATTGCATAGGTACGTATACTTTTGCTTGGTGCGGGCTTCAAAACAACAAACAACAACAATACACCGATCAACCTTGTATATTATAGGTTCTTTATAAGGCAAGAGTGAGTACTTTCTCACACCGCATATCCCATTGCTCATTCTTCTTTTCATTTTTATTTTATTTTGTTTTTATTTTACTACGCTTGCTACGTGAACAGCGTGTAACATCGCAACTGAAACCGCCAACTGTGCGAGTTGTGTGCCTGATGAAGATTTGGTTAAATGCACCGAATGTGCGGTGAACTACACGATGCATGGTGATTCACCTACCACATGCGGTGAGTTTTACGGTCTCGCTTTTCATATTCTGAATACCACTTGATGAGAAGATAATGAAGTGCTAATGTCACTGTTGCATCCCAGTCAATTACTATCTTGACCTGTATCGAGTACGAAATGCTTGGAAAATGCTAATCGTTGGATTGAATCTTTCACTTTTCTGCTCACACCACTCTTACCTTGCAGATGATTCCTGCTATGGCAATCTTTGTGCGATGGCCGGCAGTGAATGTGAC